AAAAAAAATTCAATCAAAAAAAAAAAAAAAAAAAAAAAAAAAAGGGGGGGGGGGGGGGAAAAAAAGGAAGAAAAACAAAACTAAAGAAAAAGAGAACAAACACAAAGGACTGAAATAACAGAACAGCAGCTTATGAAGCAATGACTGAAACAAATATTAGACTACTTTCACAACGGATAACTGTCAACAAGCAATAAAAAAACAGGGGAAAAAAATTTGTGACACGAAAATTACATACCTCCAAGCCATCAAGTGAACTTTTGTTATGGCAATTCTCTAAAATTACTTGCATCACTCGCAAAATTTGAAGAACTGCCTGTTTTGGAAAAGGACTGTCATCTTCCAATATTCTATCTGACAAAAGGAGGTCATTTCTAGAAGCCAAGTATGTCTTGAAATACGTATCAAAATGAAGAAAAAGCGGCCTCCAGTGGTGGAAATTCCCCTGAAAGTAAAAGCAACATATTAGTTCAAGAATAAAAACGTAAAGACTTTCACACTCAAAATCAGATATACCCACCTTACTATACTCCCAACGGAAACCAGAGAGAGGTATTTGTATATCTTGTAATGGACACTGTATAACTTTGTCAATAAAGGCTTTGACTTTAGGAGGCTGTGAACAATGAAAAGCATACTGTTAACAACGGTATGTATTGCTTTTATGTATGTATCGTCTATGAAAGAGTAAAAAGGCACCACATAATTGACAGACGTCAAATCACCATTTACTTCTTCAAAATTAACAACCATGAAAATGACCACTAATATCAGCACACATTACATAGTATAATTGCACTAGTAAATCCAGCAAAAACTAATATTGTCTTTGGCCAAATGGTTCATTGTTACTAATTTGGAGGGATTGGCAACAGTCAAATCCTACTTTCCAAGATATGCAATTACAGAAGCACAGAAACAAAAAACAAAAAGATATTGAATAAAGTAGCTTCAGGAGGACTACATAATGAGAGTGAGATGAAGGAACACAAAACATAAGATTACGACATAAGCAAACAATAATAACTAAACTATTCACCAACTGAAGTTTCTAAACGAAAAGGCTAATACAAAATTCTGTAATTCAATAATGAGCTAAATACAAAAATGAGCTTTGCTATAATGAGCACCTCCATAAGTGAAACAACATTCAACCCCAGATCATCTCAAGGAAAAGGCGTTTATTATATCAAATTAAATTGGCAACCAAGTTGAAATGGCAGCATGGGCATCAAACAAAAAGAATTAGAGATAAAACCATAAAAGGAAATGCAAATACAATAGAAGTAACAAGTCAACAACATTTCAGAATTCACAGGGAAGCCATATACATACAATTTTATCTTTATTTCCCCGCATGAATGTTTTCACTTCCTACAACAAAAATATGACTTGAAAAAACCCCACCCCCACTCCCGCCACCCCTCAAAGCTCAAACCCCCCAATCTTTTTCCCGAATAAATAAACAAGTAAAAAATCACCACCAACAAATCACACATGAGCTATCACAAATTATGCAAAAGGTACCAACACTTAGAGACTTTTTTCTGGGGAAAAATTAGGCCTTGACAGTACAAACCCAAACTAACATAATCAAAATCAAATGACCGACACTCTAATCAGCGAATAATCACCTCTCTCACAAACCCATCACCCAAATTACCACGCAAGAAGAACAAAATACAGTAAATATATACATATATATGAAGTGCAATATTCAAACAGACAGTAAATTATCTCTGTCCAATCAATTCTGACTTTGCAGGGTCAAACAAAAACCTTAGGGCTTTTCGAAGTCAGCACTGAGGTTCCCATAAAACCGTTAAAAAGAAAAAGAACAAAAAAAGTAGAACCGGATATAGATTGAACACAGATTTCAACAAACATGTTCACAGTATCTCACACAAAGCGTTGTTATTACCCAAAACAAAAAAAACAAAAAAAAAAACTCACTGGGTCCGAGTCTATTTTGAGAGATGGACCGAAACCGCCATCGCCGGAGAGGAGTTGGCGAAGCCTCGAGGGCAAGCTCGATCTTGGGGCTGCCATGAATTCTCAACCCCAGCTTCTCTACTATTGACTACTGCACCAAAATAAAAATAAAAATAAAAAACATAAATAAAAAATAACAATTTCAATAATAATAGTAATCAAAAGAAGAAAACAAACAGAAACCTAATCGTGGATTGGGTTAAAAGCTGAACTCTAAACCCACGGCAGAGAAAAGCAAAAACTTTGAATGATTAATTGAGGGAAAAAAAAAAAAGAGGGAAGAAAATTTGATCAATACGAAACGAATAGATACACCGATATAAACAATACAAACGCGACAGTACCTGAGAGAGGAATGAGAGAGAGTGGGTGGACGCATACACATCCGAAGTTTGGAGGGAGGGCTCGGAGGAGAGAGAAGTATGAAGGGGATTTTAGAGAGAGAGAGAGAAAGAGGAGAGAAGCGAAACCCCAAAGCGAAGAGAAAAAGGGGGTGTTGTGGGGCTTGTGAAGGTCGCTGGTGCTGTGTTGTGTTGCGAGTACAACACAATATAAATATTTATTTCTGTTCGTAGCAAAAAAATATTATTGCTGTTTTTTTTTTTTTTCTTTTTTGCTAGTATTCTCTTGAAGGGTTTTTTTTTTTCCCCTGTTCTCTTGGACGGAGATGAAAAATAAGAAATAACGTTTTAATTTTAAGCGAAAAATAGAGAAATATTTTGAAATATATAGATAGTGAGAGGATGAGAGCATCATAATAATAATAATAATAATAATAATAATAATAATAATAATAATAATAAAATCGGGTTAAATTCCGAGAAAAATAGAAGTTGTCTCGCTCATGGATAACTTTTGTTAAATTTTTGAAAAATTCGCTTGAAATTTCGGTATTTTGAGGTGTCAAAAAATGTTTTGCATGTAAACATTTCGGAGTAATATCGGTTGAAATTGATCTCGTGAGTTTGCAATGTAAATTTGTACAGAGTTTAAAGAATGTCAGAAAAATATAAAAAATATACATTGCGTAGTGTGAAGAAAACAATAAATCTATATGTAATGCGTTGGTAATATTATTTAACACTACTAAAATAACATGCCATGATATTATATTTTACTTAAATCAATGGCCTTATTTATTCGTCATTTGAATGGTAGTGATTTAATTTAAATTATGATTCATATCGATATTTATATATAAAACTAAATTATAATTTAAATTGAGAATAAAAATATGTGTTTAGATAAAATATTGAAAACTTAATTATAATTTTGTAACAAATTTTTTTTACAAAAAATTGTAAATGGCATGTTTAAATGTACTATGGATGGATTTGTTCCTCTATTCATTATGAACACATTGAAAATATAAAAAAAAAATTATATCAATCGGAATTGAAACAAAAATGTATGACATTTCTAAGTTTAAAATTGAAGAGAGAGAAAAAAAGTAAAAAGCAAATTGTTTTTCTCATCATTCATTTATCTACCAAACATCAATTTGAATCTTAAACTACCATTTAAATTGAATTTTTAGGTTCAAATGGTTGAAACATGGCAATACATGCTTCAATGCAATAATTACTAGTTAAAAATAACTTAATGACGAGAATGAACAATTAAAGAATGAAACCAGCCATAGAAGGCAACAAAAGAGACAAGTTGAGTGGTAGGCGTATTTATTTGAGTGTTCGATTTTGAAACTCGAAATACGTCTCGGTACACTATTGATAAGGTATTGAAAAATCGTAAATATTTTTGAAATTGTGAGTAGCCATTCCACCCATTACATCGAGATAAACAAGACGTATTTTATCATAACTCGTTCTTCCAAAAAAACAAACAAAACAAAACAGTGTCGGGCCAATAATTCTATTAGAAATTATTTATAAAATGGCTCCATTGAATTCTTTATTCTCTTTAAAATTGAGTTTATTTGTGAAACCAATTGTTTATTGGGATCGTGATTTTAAGTTGTACGAGTCCATATATTGTTGGTATTTGTTTGATTTGAAATATATTTCAAAAAAAAAAATGAAAGAAGAACACACTCTTACATATGAAATAGATAATAGATAAATTAGATAATTAGAGGCTCGGTGAACTACTGGATTACTAGAGTACATGGGTGATTGTTGATCATCTGTCTGAGCCGGTGTGCAAAGATGGTCAACTCAAACTCATCTTAAAAAAAAAAAAAAAAAAAGACCAAACTCATCTTCAAAAAATAAAAAGTTATTCCCAACTTTCAAGATGATAGGCACTTCTTAAAATCATCAGTTCTATTTCTCAACAAGTAGAATATAGCCCATAGGTAGTGCGAATGGACTAGAGAATTACTTTAAAATGTCTCGTTTATTTTGTGGATTCGAATTTTTAATTCGAGTAGAAATGTGACATTTTCTGAGAATTTTTTACTGTAGAAACCTAAAACTGAAAACTTAATGTGAATAGCAACTTAGCCTTGGGTCTGTTTTTTTTTACAGAGTAGAAAAAAAATACAGGTATTTTCTCTGTTCCTACTACTATATTCAAAGAGTACGAGGGAGAGCCTAGATTGCTTGTATAGAAGCATCGAGAGATTGGGTGGAATGGGATTTAGATATAGAATGCGGGTTTGATCTTGTATTGTATAAAATAAGTAAGAAGAAGAGGTGTTTTTGGTACGACAGTTTGTATGATATGATGTAATAAACTAAAAAAAAGATAAATGAATAGAAATTGAAGATCTATGAAAATTATTTGTCCATTTGGCCAAAGATACATCAAAAGAAAGGCGAGCAATGGAGGGGGGGGGAAAAGCAATGGGAATATTCGGAGATGCACGTCGCTTTGTACACTCCAAGAGCCTTTTCTTTCTTCTTTTCCTAATTTTTTTTTTCACGGATATCCTCTCAATTTTACGCGTTTAGTAAATTAATCCTTTAACTTTAAAATTTATTGTAATTTGGTCCAAATTGAAAACGAAGTTAAAGTTTTAAACAGTTTCTTTCACGTGAACGTTTAATGAGACTAATTTTATTCTTTTTGTATTAAATTGGTCCCCGTATACACATTATAAGTGAAAATTTCTTTGAAAATGAGAGTTAACAATTTTTAGAGAAAATTTCGGGTTCCCCAATTTCAAAATTTGTTTTACTCATCATATGTATATGGGAATGTAAAAAGACTAAAATTATTCTTATTAAATATTCACGTAAAAAAAACTGTTTAAAATTTTAACTTCATTTTCAATTTAAGCCGAATTACAATAAATTTAAAGTTTAAAAAATAAATTACTAAGATTAAAAATTAACAAACGTGTAAAATTGAGGGGAGTCCACACAAAAAACTTCTTGTGCTTTTGGTTTTATCTTTTTTATATGAGGCGACGAAAAGGTCGTGTAAGGAAAAACTGCTTTATCAATCAAAATAATAAAAAAATAATAATCAAATCAATTAGAAGATGAAATCTAGACTTTGATTTCTGGATATTTATAAGTCGTCAAAGTCTTGCGAGGAAAGACATTGTCATTGTGGGGTGGGCCAGGGAGGGTTGAGCAAGTCCTTAGATTTTTTTTTTTCTATTTTCTTGACACATAATTTTTTCTTAAAAAAAATTAAGCTGAGGTTAATTGAGGCTTAATAAAATCATAGATTCACACATTCTAGATTAAAGATTGACATCTGCCTTCCATTGACATAAAAATTCACAAACCATTGTAGGACCAGTTTGCAAAATTATAAACGTCTAACAGTGCCAGTTAGAGCAATTACAAAGTTATAGTGCACTGTGCTCACAATTAAGAGAAGTTTTAGGGGTTATTCTTTTGCATTTTTGAGTTATGATGATTTTGAGTTGAGTTTGAGTTATAACTTGAGTTGAAGTTGTAATTTGAGTTTGTGTTTGAATGTGCACATTTGAGTTATGATTTGAATTGAGAATCTTTTTTAGTTTGGTTGGGTCAAAACTTAAATTTGTATTTATATAGTATTTTAATAAAAACTCAATGGTGATGAAAAATTTTAATAGGGTATATGGGTGAGGTTTTATTCGTCTTTTTCGTTGTAAATGCATAGAAAAAAAAATCATCTCAATCAGAATTAAAACGAAAAAGTTATGACATTTTTTAGAATAGAAAAAATATTGTTCATTAATTTGAATTCGAGTTTATGAACTCGAGTTGAAGAGAAAATTTAAACTCGAGTTTATCTCCAAACTCGAGTTCAAATTCGAGTTCAAACTCAAATTTTACAAAATAACATGAACTTAAATAAAGTTGTAACTTGAGTTCAAATTTTTTTAGAATTTCGTTGTAAAAAAACAACCTCTTAATTCGTGTGATGAATGTTGAAAACTAACAAAGATGGCTTTTAGCTTATTAATTTCGATAAATGAAAGATGTAAGAAAAGTAGTAGTGAGTGGTTTGAACTTTGGAGTAATTTGGAACTAAGGGGTTACCAATTCTAATGTGATAATTTCCCTGAAAAATCTGGTGCTCATGGCTTGGTCCATTATTGTTTGACTAATAATGTGGTCGTTGACGAGGCAATAATTTTAGAGGTTGTTGTTCATCATCTTACTTTTGTGCAGAAGTTGCATCTCAATTTTGAGATCAAATTGAAGTGAATCATGATAATTATTCTCATGAAACAGAACAAGTGAATTCCACCTCAGTGGGACCCACATTTTGCTTATTATGTGTGGACTGCAGAGCTAGATAGTTTTACTGAGTTGTTTAGTTAGAAGATTTAAAAAATGTGATCGGAACACTTATTTAGTTGCACAACATTTTAAACTTAAATTTAAATTTAAGGTTCATTAAACCTAAAATTGAAAGTCAAACTTAACTTTAAAAATCCACAGTTCTAATATGATTTAAATATCTATTGTCTAGACTTTACGCTATCAAACGTCAGTTTAAACTACACTCGCGTATAAATTCAAACCCAAACTTTAATCCCTGTTTTCAGGAAGCAGATTTGTTTTTTGGAACTAAAAATTCAAATGAACCAACGTCGATAAAACTATTTTGAGATTTGGTGAAACGGGTTTCCCTTCTTGCGGAAGAAAGAAGGGGAAAAAGTAAAAACAGTAGTGATTTTCTTCCTTTGTTTTGTTTTTTCTTGACTGTTAAAAGGTTTTCCTCGATCATAAAAACTGAAAGCTGAAACAACTTTTCAAGCTTTCAACTTTTTAACCTCATCTATGGCATTTCTACCAAAAAGAACTTTTTAACCCCGTCTTTCATTGGCAAAAAAACCTGGAACTCCTTCCACAAATTTCTCAAGAAACAGCAGCAGATTTCATTCTCGTCAGCGCAGTTTGCCAGTTAGCATCATTCAGAGTACAAAGTATACACCTCATATTACAATTTGGTCTGCGAACTGTTGTCTTCTCAATCTCAAAAGCAAACTGAATGAAACCTAGCAATATTCATTAAATAAATCACACAACATCATCAATATCACATAAACAAATATAGCCGTGTCAAGGTAAAAAGGGCGGAATTTCAAGCTCAATCTCTCGCAAAGTCGCCAGTTCCTGCAAGTAAATGGAGACTTTTTGTTGTTTTCTCATGTTCTTCCTTACCCTCTTCAGTACTACCATACC